TTCTTGTTTTCCGTAAAATAATTTTTGTGCCTGACTTATATGTCTCATGATTTCTTCTTTGGCTTCTTGTAGACTATTCTTTTTTCGTAAAATAATTTTTTTTGACTTATATGTCTCATGATTTCTTCCTTGGCTTCTTGTAGACTATTGTTTTCCGTAAAATAATTTTTTTTGCCTGACTTATATGTCTCATGATTTCTTTTGGCTTCTTGTAGACTATTCTTGTTTTCCGTAAAATAATTTTTTGTGCCTGACTTATATGTCTCATGATTTCTTTTGGCTTCTTGTAGACTATTCTTGTTTTCCGTAAAATAATTTTTTTGTGCCTGACTTATATGTCAAAATTTCTTTTTTGGCTTCTTGTAGACTATTCTTTTTTCCGTAAAATAATTTTTGTGCCTGACTTATATGTCTCATGATTTTCTTTTGGCTTCTTGTAGACTATATTCTTTTTTTAATTTTTGTAAAATAATTTTTGTAGACTATTCTTGTTTTCCGTAAAATAACTGACTTATATGTCTCATGATTTCTTCTTTGGCTTCTTGTAGACTATTCTTGTTTTCCGTAAAATAATTTTTGTGCCTGACTTTTTCTCATGATTTCTTCCTTGGCTTTGACTATTCTTGTTTTCCGTAAAATAATTTTTGTAGACTATTCTTTTTTCGTAAAATAATTTTTTTTTGACTTATATGTCTCATGATTTCTTCTTTGGCTTCTTTATATTCTTTTTTCGTAAAATAATTTTTGTGCCTGACTTATATGTCTTTGATTTCTTCTTTGGCTTCTTGTAGACTATTCTTGTTTTCCGTAAAATAATTTTTGTGCCTGACTTATATTTATGATTTCTTCTTTGGCTTCTTGTAGACTATTCTTGTTTTCCGTAAAATAATTTTTGTGCCTGACTTATATGTCTCATGATTTCTTCTTTGGCTTCTTGTAGACTATTCAAAATAATTTTTTTGACTTATATGTCTCTGATTATTTCTTCCTTGGCTTATTTAGACTAAAATTCTTTTTTTAAAAAATTTTTTTGTGCCTGACTTATATGTCTCATGATTTCTTTTTGCTTCTTGTAGACTATTCTTGTTTTCCGTAAAATATTTTTTTGCCTGACTTATATGTCTCATGATTTCTTCTTTGGCTTCTTGTAGACTATTCTTGTTTTCCGTAAAATAATTTTTTTTGACTTATATGTCTCATGATTTCTTCCTTGGCTTCTTGTAGACTATTCTTTTTTCCGTAAAATAATTTTTTTGACTTATATGTCTCATGATTTCTTCTTTGGCTTCTTGTAGACTATTCTTGTTTTCCGTAAAATAATGACTTATATGTCTCATGATTTCTTCTTTGGCTTCTTGTGGACTATTCTTGTTTTTCCGTAAAAAATAATTTTTTTTTGACTTATATGTGACTTATATGTTCATGATTTCTTTGGCTTCTTGTAGACTATTCTTGTTTTCCGTAAAATAAAACTTATATGTCTCATGATTTCTTCCTTGGCTTCTTGTAGACTATTCTTGTTTTCCGTAAAATAATTTTTTTGACTTATATGTCTCATGATTTCTTCCTTGGCTTCTTGTAGATATTCTTGTTTTCCGTAAAATAATTTTTGTACCTGACTTATATGTCTTAATTTCAAAATATTCTTGTTTTCCGTAAAATAATTTTTTGTGCCTGACTTATATGTCTCATGATTTCTTTTGGCTTCTTGTAGACTATTCTTGTTTTCCGTAAAATAATTTTTTTTGACTTATATGTCTCATGATTTCTTCCTTTGGCTTCTTGTAGACTATTCTTAATCGTAAAATAATTTTTTGTAAAATAATTTTTTCCTGACTTATATGTCTCATGATTTCTTCTTTGGCTTCTTGTAGACTATTCTTGTTAATCGTAAAATAATTTTTTTGACTTATATGTCTCATGATTTCTTCCTTGGCTTCTTGTAGACTATTCTTGTTTTCCGTAAAATAATTTTTGTGCCTGACTTATATGTCTAATGATTTTTGTTGGCTTCTTGTAGACTATTCTTGTTTTTTCAAAATAATTTTTGTGCCTGACTTATATGTTAATCAAAATTTCTTTTTGGCTTCTTGTAGACTATTCTTTTTTCCAAAATAATTTTTTTTGACTTATATGTCTCATGATTTCTTCCTTGGCTTCTTGTATATTCTTGTTTTCCGTAAAATAATTTTGTGCCTGACTTATATGTCTCATGATTTCTTCCTTGGCTTCTTGTAGACTATTCTTGTTTTCCGTAAAATAATTGTAGACTATTCTTGTTTTCCGTAAAATTTCATGATTTCTTCTTTGGCTTCTTGTAGACTATTCTTGTTTTTCCGTAAAATAATTTTTGTGCCTGACTTATATGTCTCATGATTTCTTCCTTGGCTTCTTGTAGACTATTCTTGTTTTCCGTAAAAATAATTTTTTTGTGCCTGACTTATATGTCTTAATTTCTTCTTTGGCTTCTTGTAGACTATTCTTGTTTTCCGTAAAATAATTTTTTGTGCCTGACTTATATGTCTCATGATTTCTTCCTTGGCTTCTTGTAGACTATTCTTGTTTTCGTAAAATAATTTTTTCCGACTTAAAATATTTCTTTTTTTGTAGACTATTCTTGTTTTTTATAAAATAATTTTTTGTGCCTGACTTATATGTCTCATGATTTCTTCCTTTGGCTTCTTGTAGACTATTCTTGTTTTCCGTAAAATAATTTTTTGTGCCTGACTTATATGTCTCATGAAATAGACTATTCTTGTTTTCCGTAAAATAATTTTTGTTTTGACTTATATGTCTCATGATTTCTTCTTTGGCTTCTTGTAGACTATTCTTTTTTCCGTAAAATAATTTTTTGTGCCTGACTTATATGTCTCATGATTTCTTCCTTGGCTTCTTGTAGACTATTCTTTTTTCGTAAAATAATTTTTTGTGCCTGACTTATATGTCTCATATTTCTTTTGGCTTCTTGTAGACTATTCTTTTTTCCGTAAAATTTTTTTTTGTACCTGACTTATATGTCTCATGATTTCTTCTTTGGCTTCAAAATAACTATTTTGTTTTCCGTAAAATAATTTTTTGCCTGACTTATATCTCAAAAATTTCTTTCTTTGACTATTCTTGTTTTTAAAATAAGACTATTCTTGATTTCTTCCTTTTTTCCGTAAAATAATTTTTGTGCCTGACTTATATGTCTCATGATTTCTTCTTTGGCTTCTTGTAGACTATTCTTTTTTCCGTAAAATAATTTTTTTTTGACTTTATATGTCTCATGATTTCTTCTTTGGCTTCTTTAGACTATTCTTGTTTTCCGTAAAATAATTTTTTGCCTGACTTATATGTCTCATGATTTCTTCCTTGGCTTCTTGTAGACTATTCTTGTTTTCCGTAAAATAATTTTTGTGCCTGACTTATATGTCTCAATTTCTTCCTTGGCTTTTTGTAGACTATTCTTGTTTTCCGTAAAATAATTTTTGTGCCTGACTTATATGTCTCATGATTTCTTCCTTGGCTTCTTGTAGACTATTCTTTAATCAAAATATTTTTTGTGCCTGACTTATATGTCTCATGATTTCTTCTTTGGCTTCTTGTAGACTATTCTTTTTTCCAAAATAATTTTTGTGCCTGACTTATATGTCTCATGATTTCTTCTTTGGCTTCTTGTAGACTATTCTTGTTTTCGTAAAATAATTTTTTTTGTGCCTGACATACTTATATGTCTCAAAATAATTTCTTCTTTGGCTTCTTGTAGACTATTAATTTAAAATAATTTTTTTTGACTTATATGTCTCATATTTCTTCTTTGGCTTCATATTCTTTTTTTCGTAAAAAATTTTTTTCTATGTACTTGGCTTATATTCTTGTTTTAATCAAAATAATTTTTGTAAAAATGTCTAATTTCTTCTTTGGTTTTTTGTAGACTATTCTTATTTTTCCGTAAAATAATTTTTTGTGCCTGACATATATGTCTCAATTTCTTCTTTGGCTTTTTGTAACTATTCTTGTTTTTAAAATATTTTTTTGTGCCTGCTTATATTTAATCAAATTTCTTCCTTGGCTTCTTGTACTATTCTTTTTTTGTAAAATAATTTTTTGTACCTGACTTATATGTCTCATGATTTCTTTTTTTATTTACTATTCAAAATAATTTTTTGTGCCTGTATGATTTCTTCTATTCTTGTTTTCCGTAAAATAATTTTTTGTAATCATAAATTTCTTCCTTTTTTTGTAGACTATTCTTGTTTTATATAAAATAATCAAAATATTTTTTTTGGTTAATTTTTGTAGACATTATTTAATCAAAATAATTTTTTTTTTGTCTATTTCTTCTTTGGCTTTTTATTTAATCAAAATAATTTTTTGTATGTACTTCTGGCATATTTAATCAAAATAATTTTTTGTAGTACCTGTTTTATATTTAATCAAAATAATTTTTTTTGTAGACTATTCTTTTTTTCCGTAAAATAATTTTTTGTAGTACCTGGCATATTTAATCAAAATAATTTTTTGTAGTACCTGGCATATTTAATCAAAATAATTTTTTGTAGTACCTGGCATATTTAATCAAAATAATTTTTTGTAGTACCTGGCATATTTAATCAAAATAATTTTTTGTAGTACCTGGCATATTTAATCAAAATAATTTTTAATCAAAATCAAAAATAATTTTTTGTAGTACCTGGCATATTTAATCAAAATAATTTTTTGTAGTACCTGGCATATTTAATCAAAATAATTTTTTGTAGTACCTGGCATATTTCAGGTCAACAATTCTTCTGATTGCTTCCATTTTTCAGCTAAATTCTCATTTTTTTTATTTTTTCCTAAATCATCTCATTCATCTTCTGCACTCCCATCAAAAATTAATATAAATCTTAAAATTAATTACAATTTAGACTTTTTTCTTTCGATGAATAAAGCTTTGATCACCAGTAAACATTTCATACTTGTAAAATAACTCCACGAGTGACAATGTCATATGTTTCTCATTTTCTAATAATTAAATGCTATTATTTCTATTTGTTAAACATGCCTCCTCTTTTTCTTCATATGTACAAGCAGACACTTCTTGCCTGCATTGGCTGTTGCAAAAGGTCAATAAAGTAACACAAATAAATACCTAAAATATTGTGTTCTTTCCAGCACTAGCTCTCCACAACCACCTATTCCTTGTAGCCTTTAGCAATATTTACACCCCTCACCATTTTCCTATCCATTTACACAAGACTGTCAGTTAGGTGACCCACTGACTTTCCTGTCACTTGCCCTGCTTCCATTTGCCTTAAAACTTCTTTATTGATTACATGTTCTGTTCCTGGTGTTCTCACCATCCTTCTGTAGAACCACATTTTTGTCATCTTTAGTTTTCTCTTGATCTTTGAGGAGATTATTCAGCATTCTCTGTCACACAAGAGGACTGGTATTACATAACAGTTCAGCACTCTTTTCTTTGTTTCTAGCAAAATTTTCCTGTTTCTTAATACTTTATTTAGCTTTTGGAAAGCATCTCTCTTTCTTCCAATTGCATTATTTACATTTCAATTGTGCCATTGTCATGACATCATATGTAACTCAACTGATGCTTGGTTGTTGTGCCATAATTGGTTATATTGGTCGTCTTCAAGTCAGTACCCTAAAGTCGCACTGTCTCAATTTTGCGCTGAACATCAAAAAAACTATCTTTTTCACCAGATAAAAGGTTTTCTTGCAATTAATATTTAGCACTATACAATGGGGTCTGTATTGGCAACTTTTATTGTCCCTAACAAGGAAATGTTGACAACTACTAGTCAGTGGTGGAGAAGGTACAGCGAGTGAGAGAACTTTGCTACTCCTACCTTATTTTTCAATCCGTCTGCTTGCTACCAAACCAAAAACATCACTGAAGAATTTTGGAGGGAGGAAATCCTTTTTCACCAAAAATCTCATCTTCTTGCTAGTTGCTAATTCATTACTTCCTGTCCAATGAAAAGTCACCACCACATTCAACTGAACTGATCAAATATATATTGTATTTCAGAAACATAATACATTTACAACAACCTGTATGCAGCTTTTTTTTTCTAACCCTTAATTTATTCTCTTCTCATTTATACACACAGTGTTACACAGTGATCTCCACATTTATGTTTGCCAAGAGAATATTTATGAAGTCAGATATTGAAACATTAGTCATGATATATGAATATGTTTTTCATTTATATTTATCTTTTTACATACAGAGAGAAAGACAGTTTCCAATTTCCCAAGTATTGATTACTTTCAAGGATAATTCTGTCTTGTATTATTTATTTTCCTTTTGATTCTAATGATCATTTGATAAAGGTTCATATCACCTTCACCAAATCCATCTTATGATTTCACAGAAGCTCTTACATTTTGAAAATGTCTATTAAATATTATCATGTTCAACAGAAAACATGTGACCATCCTTGTTGCTGTCTATTCAGGTTTTTGTTTTTGATTTCTCAGTTGCAGTATTTTATGATTTTCATCTTTCCTAACCATAACTAAAACACGAATGAGTCAGTTGGCTTAAAATCTTGTTTTCACCCAGCATTTTAGATCTGTCAAAATAATCTGATTACTTTAAGAAGCAGGTCTAAATTCAGACCATTTTTAGTTTCCCATCTTCGTTTATCAAGAGATTTCCAAGAGATTTCCAAGAGATGCTTTAATATTGCGAACTCCTAGGGTGAAAGTATTTTCCTTTATTTAGTTATCTTAATTAAAATTAAAATTTTTTCTCTTCCGAAGCACCATTTTTTACCCTTTTGCATGTCCGATTTGCATATCTATTTTCTATTCTAATAGTTTCTTTTCTCACTTCTGTGGAACTCTCTTTCCTCCCTGTCAACTACGATCTTCAAAAATTTAAATGCAATGTCAATTGACATCTGTTCTTAAATGCTCTTCTTTTTATTGTCTTTTCTCCTCAATAATCTTTTCTCTGTTTCCTTCACTCTCAGTAAACCTTTTCTTCTTAGTGGCTTTATCACCTTACTTGGTGTGAAATGCTGAAAAAAATAAAAAAATATCAAGTCAGGTTCCCATCAATCATTATTATTTTCACTCACTTGTCAGCATCTGAAAGTAAATATACTCTTTAGTTTTCAGAATGTTATTAACGGATGACAAAAACAGTCTTGTTTGGCATAAAATTATTTTGTTATCATCATTAAAGAAAATATAGTTTCTTTTTTACATCAAATGTCTGTATATTGTAGACTTTTTCAGTGTCTTGATTTGCAAAAAAAAGCCAATACCAATGGTAAAAAAATGGTATAAAAAAAGAAAGAACCAAGAACATGTATGTTAGCCGAGAAAAATCGTCCAGCATACGAGTTCAAGGTCCAAAGAAAAAAATCTTGATGTGAGTATGCAAAATAACTAAATAAAGTGCTCAATACAGTGAGTAGAGCAGATCTCATGAACTGCTTAGGTGAAACTTTGATAGGTTTGTTTGGCTCTCTAGGCTTAACTAACTAACTAAATATATATATATATATATATATATATATATATATATATATATATATATATATATAGTTAAACCTAGAGGGCCAGATAAATCTACCAAGGTTTCACCTAAGCTTAGGTTTGTCTGGCTCTAGGTAGGTTTATATATATATATATATATATATATATATATATATATATATATATATATATATAATACTAATAATCTTATAAATATAAGCAGCTATACTCGTCCGGAAAAACCTTAGGTGTTTTAGCTTGTAAATGAACAAACCAATACCTAAGGGAAAAAAAAGGGTAAAAAAAGAAAGAACTAAGAACATATACTTCTGACGAAAATAATCGTCTAGAATCTAAGTTCAGAGTCCAAAGAAAAAAACCTCTGACACAAGTAAAGTAAAAGTAACTAAGCAAAGTGCTCAATACACTAATTAGAGCTAACTAAGTAAACCTAAACTTAGGTAGGTTTGTCTGGCTCTTTAGGTTTACTTGTTTAAAAACAGTAAATTGACTAACCAGACACCTCCTCTGTTGCTAAATTGTATAGCATGTCAAGTCAAATGACAGTTCCATGTAGGATATAAGTTCAATTTCTGTCGGATGATACATATTTTTTATGAAATTTCTCAAACATTCCAACAGGTAAATATAGTTAATACTTTTTATTATCAACAGAGCATTTACTTAAATATTTGTATCTATAAAAAGAATATATAAACAAAAAATATATATATTTACATTATTTCATGTATTACTGTGGGATAATATTTTTAAGGCGAACTGTTTTCATACTTAAAGAGTTCAAGATAAGAAATCAAGCATTAAAATTAATCAAAATAAAATGTTCAAAAACTTATCTTGCCACTTATGTCAACATTTTTATGATGTCTTGAATATGGATAGCATATCTCTGCCAGAGTCTTGTTCCTGGTCTTAAATCTAAAGAAACTGACTTATTTTCAAAAAAGGTGCCAATCTTAGAATTGCTGTGGTTGGCATCCACGATCATATCCATAGCATACCTTTTTATTTCTTCTGCCATATCAGAATCTGCTGTATTAATGCCCTTGATATAGGAATCTTAAAATTTGGTGCATGTTGTGTAACATTATGTTAGGTCATCTTCCACTTTTGATCTGTTGAAGATGTCTTTCTAAATGCCTACTAAAGGTCACTTCCCAATGACCTGCTGAATGTCACTTCCCAATGACCTGATGAACCCTATAGATATTCCTCTGGAAAATTACTCTTATTCAATGTTTCTACTTTCTTGCAGTTATTACATTTGTGTACTTGCAAAATCTGATTTCCAAATTGTTTATCTGCCTTTTTTATTCTCTCCAATAGAATTCATCAAATGTCAAGCCACTATGGGTATGGATACGATGTAATCCAGTATTACCTGCTGTAAGGTATGGTGACTGGCACTTAAACTGTTTCCCTTAGCAAGCTTTTATAGTGAGAAGGGTAGCTAGATACCGAGCAGGATTATAAACAAAAATTGTCAAATGGCAGTTGAACCTTCTTGCAGGGCCAACAACCATGTTGTACATTTGAGTAGAGAGGTGCTGCACATAACTGTGTATGAAGTCACTGCAGTGATGACACAATATTGTTGCATGGAAGGGGCTTCCTAGAATGACGTCAAGTGTCCAGACACTGGTTTCTCCCAAAGTTGGAATCAACAGCCCTGTGTCCATATCCAAGATGTGTCTTCAAGTTTCTGCATGTTGACTGTGGTTTGTGTTGGAGAGGGATGAGCTCTGGCAGGTTTACTTGTATATGACATGCAATGGATGAGTGACTACATCTCCAGCTTTCCACCCAGATATGTGGAGTGAACTAATCCGATGCAGCAACGCCCTATGACCACACCCAGTCAAAGGACTAATGATGATGATGCATTTGAAATAGATTTAGTATTTTTCTGCATTTTCCACCAAGACAATCACTTTAATCTCATCTCACAAAAACACACACCGCTATTTCTGGTTAAAAGAATTCCATTCTGTAGATTGGTAGGGAAATAATGCCTTATTCATTTTTATTTAATAAGCAGTTTTTTTTTATCGCCACATTCAGTACTTTAATTTTTGGCATTTCCTCATAACAGCACTGTTTTTCTTTTCTTTTTTTTCAGGAATGGAACTCAGAAGAGATTTTGGATCATTTCATGTGTCAAATGTCCAGGAACTTTTGGAAATTCCTGAGGTCAGCATTTTGAAATTTCTTAAACTACTATTCCCCTATAAGTTATTATTATTATTATTATTATTATTTCCTTGGATTTCTGTTGTATACAGATCTCCTTCCTGGCCGTAACCAGATTCCTATGGTCAGAAATGGCTCCTTGACAGCTTCCACTGATCATTTAAAAAAATAAGACCACACGCATTATACATAGATGTAAGCTCTTTGTAATGTTTAAGCTGTACTTGTGAGTTCGATTTTTTATATTTCTATTTTTGTTATATATTATATGGATATATATTATTATCTGTCTATATTTCTGAGATGAGGTATTATGTACATTATTTACATTATTTGGACACATGGCACAGTAGATAAAGGCGTTGGTTAGATCCAGTGACAGGACCCAAAGAGTGTGAGTTCAATACCCGGTTCAATACCATGTTTAATGGATGTCAGTTATCAGTTATTTCCTGTTAATTTCTCTCTGAAAGTTCTCCACTGCCTTAATCGGGTATTGAACTCACACTCTTTGGGTCTTGTCACTGGATCTAACCAATGCCTTTATCCACTGTGCCATGTGTCCTTGAGGAAATTAACAGGAGATAACTGATAACTGACATACATCAAACATGGCATGTGGAACTAGAACAGTCTACCCCAGTGAGCGAAATAAAGGGTTCAGTTCGAGATTCCAACCACCTGAAGAAGGCCGGAGCGTACAATGGCCGAAATGTTGTAATAAATATGGCAACAAAGATGAGGACAACAGTCTGAAATAATGTAAATAATGCACATAATACCTCATCTCAGAAATATAGACAGACTCAGAAATGACAATGTTTAACAATGCTAAGCAATATTTTGACATTATGTTTGTCTTCAAGTTATACTTGTATGCAATTTTTAAACATAAGAAAAATATAAAAAAAATACAAATCTTTGTACAAATATCACTTATCTTGAGAAAAATGCTTGTACTATTAATCAATGTGACAAAGCAAATAAAACACTGATGTGGAATGCAACTGAAACATGAGTAGCATGATGGGGACATGCTTATTTGGACATTTTATGTTAGTTGATTAGTTAGTAAGAGCAAGTGATCAAATTTTTTTTATAGTTTTTACTTTTATGTAATTTCTAAACATAATTTTAAGAATACAGATATAGTGTTGAAATATTGTAAAACCTTGTCTTTTCTTAAGTCACGTTTGTCTTTAAGTGTTGTATCATTATCAATATTAATATTATGATTGTTAACTATGCTGACTCTTGTTGTCCTACCTAGAATTGAACTCACCATTCTTAGCTAACAAATGTCTGAAGATATTACACCCCCTTTCCTCAGCTTAATTGTTGTGTTCTAAGCAGTGACAGTAGCAGGCTTGTCTCCCTTCCTGCCAAAATGGATTTAACCTTTAAGCATCATTTAAGTTTACTGAAATTTTTCCTCAGTGTGATTTTTTTTCTATTGTTTCATGAAGTGTTGCTACTCAGTTTATTGATCAAGATCCTGTTTTATTAATAATAATGATTATTATTATTATTATTGTTATTATTATTATTATTTATAACAGTAAAATAATAAAATACTATTTCCCACATTGTTCAAGCTCACATTGTCACCATTTCTTAATTTTTTATCACAGTATTTTGGCAAATACATTCATCAGTTTTCATTCTATTTGATAAAAGTTACAAAGATGAGATCATTAATTTAAACATGAGATAAGGTAAATAATTACAATATTATTGGTCAGTTTTATCAGTGAAATTATTAACAGTAAAATGCAATTAGTAAACGAAGTTTGAATTCTGATATTTAAGTCACACTAATCCTTGATTAATTGATTTTTGTTTTTTATGGTTTATCAACTCTTTGTGGTTATTTAAATTTGAAACATATTTTCGAGTGTCAGAATAATTCTTTTTCTTTTTGTGCAAGTTAGTATTACATTAAAAGTCTTTTTAGAATAACAATGAGCTTTTCAGATACAAGTCCTACTATTTAACCCATAGCTGGGGGAGGGGAGAAGAGATGGATACATACCCTTTCCGAAGGGGATTTGTACATAAGAGAATGTAACAAACTTGACTAGGATTTGATTTCCAATTCTAAGCCATTATCCATTACACCACCCACACATCCCACTATTTCCCCGCCAGAAAAAAGATGATTAAAAAAATCAGCATACATGTGAGGTTCTGACAACTGTTACAATAGGCGAAACATAGAATTGAACATCATATAAGGAGCCTTTGATTAGCATAGAACAAAAATCAAACTTATGCCTCAACTATTACAAAATTAGATGTCTTCTATGAGATATTAGCTTTTTGGATATAATTGTTGATTAAGTATTACAATTATTACTAGTAGTCATGATTTCAATACCTGGCTAAGGCAGTGGATTCAACAAAACAAACAGTAGCAACTATACAAAGATGAATTAAAAAAAGCTCCTGAAGAAGGCCAAAGTGTATGAGCCAACATATTATTACTAGATCCATGGATAGTAAGATATTTTTTTTTCTTTCTTTCTAGGAACAATTTATTCCTGTCAAATTTCCTGTGGATTTACCAACTTTTGAGAATTATAAGGAACAGACAGTACCATTTGGAAAAAGAATTCGAAAAGACCATTTCTTTCTGGAAGTAAGTTCGAAGAACAGCTTTATTTTTTACATTTTTTTTTTTATTTTGGAAATTCAAGGCATAAATTTGTTGTGGTAGGATCCACCTAATTTGCATAGTGGAGTACCGACCATATAAATATGGTTGGTACCGGGAAAGAGAGGGAGGAATCAAGAGATTCAACCAGAGACTCTGCCCAACTGCGACTCAGTCAACCCATTCTCCAGGAACGGTCTTACCAGGAATATACAAAAGACTATATGTAAATATTGTGTACACTTTCTTGTTTCAATACATTTTGTTCTAAGTACATTTTGTGTTGCATTATTATTCCATGCATTAGTCAAGTTTCAACAAAATGACAAGGAAAATGAAATGAAATTTGGATCCATATAAAATATAAATCAGTTCTTAAAATCTTTTGACAGCATTGAAACAATATTTGGTAATATTGATGAATGGAATGGGCAAGCTTGTCCCTTTTGATTAAAGGAATAACAATATTTACCTCTGTTGATGAATGGAATAACCATACTTACCCCTAATGATGAATAGGATGAGCCAGTTTGATTATTTTTATTCCAAGTAGAAACAAGAAAGTGGCACCATTCAGTTGGTACTCTATAATTTTGGACAGAGTAACCAAAAGTCTATTGGCATCAGAGACTTTAGTATTGAATGTGTCAACAGACACGAGATTTTTAATTGCTTCTTTTATACCAGAGGTTTTTGGACTGAACATTTTACCACCTTTCAAGTTCAATTCAATGCAGACAATGCATGACTAATAAATATTTTACAAGACTCAGGCATTGTCAGTGACAAAAGATTACGAGTAGATATAAGCAAGCTTAAAAGAGAGTCTATCAGAGGAGGAAGTTAAAGGGCATTGTGTCGATGGTAAACTGTAGGTGGCAGATTAAAAAAACAAAGAGAGGAGTCTCTAAACTGAAACTGTCAATTGTGTGTATATGTGTATATATATATATATATATATATATATATATATATATATATATATATATATATGCAAAGTAAAATGAATTGTAGCTCTCTGACTGATTGGTGTTTTTTTTACATTTGTAAAAACAATATGCTAGAATTAGCTGTCTCTCTCTGCTGAATGATAGCTCAATTGTAGAAAATCTGACTGACACCAAATCGGTCGAATTTTGGTCCTGGCTTGAAGTATTCGGATGTCTAGTTGCACTGAAGAGCTGTGATACAATGAAACAGTAGTCTGCGAATGAAACACACACACACACACACACATATATATATATATATATATATATATATATATATATATATATAGACAAATCTAAGATCTAAAACAAAGAAAAAAAAAAGAAAAATCTTAGACAAGAAAAATTCCAACCTAAGAAATAAGAAAAGACTAAAAGGCCAGTATCTATCTAAGCAGTAAATAACAATGCTTAATACCTAGTCAAAAATACCTGTCTATGCTGACAGGACAAAAAACACTTCACACTTGTGACATAGCTACAGGAATATTTGCTGACACTTTTTGCCACTGTTTCTTGTCTTCTAGTTGGTCAGCATGATTAATTTAAAAAATTTCTGATACAACTCTGGCACAAATATCACCAGTTATTTCTATCCAGGGTAACTTGCCCAAAGTTAATATGAGGCATATTGACAGCTGAGAGGTTACTCTTTAGCTTGTCTTTATACCTGAGCCATGGCTGTCCAACACGCCTTTATCCACTGTCAATCTGGCTATACATGAGGACCTTAGCTATTCTGTCATCACTTGTCCTTGCAATATGACCAGCCCAGCAAATATATGACTGCATCAGAAAAGCCACAATTCCACCAATATTGCATTTTGTGAGAAGGTCACAACCAATATATATCATGTATATATATTCATTGGGTTTACCCAAGCCTTGTGAGTGAAATTGGATAGACAGGACTTTTTGGAGGTCATTGGTGGTTGTGCTAGCATGAAGTCACAAGTCATCATGACTAAGGATTTGCAATTACTAACATTGGTCAAACTGCTGATCATATCAGATTGTGCACTTTCTGTCAAAGACGTTAACTAAGAGCTGCTCAGCATAGTTGTAGTATAAATCCCAAGTGAGGTTGAGGGGGAGGTACTGTGGGTATTGAAGAAACACAAATAGACCTGAGCAGGCATCTTCAACAGGGATCAGCTAGCCACCCCATATCAGATTTTCTTGGAATTTTACTGTGTAAAGTGCAGTAAAATAGAAATTCAACTTGATTATAATTATTTGATAGTCTGAACATTAAAATATTGTGTTTACAATGATTAAATAATTCCTGTCTATATCTCTGAGATGAGGTATTATGATTACTTACATTATTTACATTATATCGACTGTTATCCTCATCATCATTGCCATATTCACAATGTTTTGGCCGTTGTACGTTCCGGCATTTTTAGGTGATTGGAATTTTGAACCGAAACCTTTATTTCGTCCACTGATGTAGATTGTTCTAGTTCCACGGGTCATGCCTCTTCTGGATGTCTCAGTTATTTCCTTTTAACTCAAACTCTCCAAGGACAATGACCCAGTGGATAAAGGTGTTGGTTAGATCCAGAGAGTTGTGAGTTCAATACCAGGCCACAGCAATGGTGAACAAAAAACTTGGAAATTTGAGTTAAAGGGAAATAACTAAGACATCTGGAAGCAACATGTCATGTGGAACTAGAACAATCTAGCCTGGTGGCCGGAATAAAGGGTTTGGTTCGAAATTCCAATCACCGGAAGAAGGCCAGAGCATATAATTGCTGAAACATTGTGAATATAGCAATGAAGATGAGGATAATGGTCTGAATAATGTAAAATCTAGAACAACCATTGTAAAATTTCAAATTTTTGGCATTCTTTAACGGTGCGGAAAATAGCATAGACAGAGTTGAATTGATGAATCAAATGAAGTTATTCCATTATTTTCCACTCATCAGGAGACACAATGGCTATTTACACATTGTAATGGCAAATGTAATGAAGATTACTCACCTCTTAGAAATGCTTATCAGAATCAATTTGATGTTGTATATTACTCTTTTTTTTATCTTTACATTGATTTTCACCCTTGGAACACCTCTAAGTAGAAACTTATGAAGCTTTATTTGATTAATTCATTTTTAGCATTGAAAGCATTTATTTTATTATATTGGAATGTTTGCAAGCAAGAGGGGAGATGAGATGTGTTTTTTTATATTTTTTTTTTATTTCCATAACCCTGTACACAGCTCAGGAGCTAGTAAATTAGTTTCAAGGGCCAATGCAATCTGTAAAGTTTCGTCATCAGATCAATTTGTTTCTCTTGTGTGTTACCCAATACATTGATGGATTTAATTCATCCAATTTGTTTTATGTTTTTTGTTAGGATCAAGTGACATTCATTAACCATGGAGCTTTTGGCGCTGTTTTACGAGAAGCTTTGGAAACTGCCCAGGTGAGGGGCTGATTTTATCTTTTTCTTTTTTTAATCCATTTTTCTACACATTCAAAATTTCTCTTCATTTTATGCAAGAAAGTGTGAAAGAAAAAAAATCTCACATAAACATTCTTAACCTCCAATGCTGATGTGCCAAAAATAAGAAGAGACCCACTGCAGAGAAAAGAATAAAGTTCTCAGGACAATATTGATGCCGCAAGCAGGAAATTAATCCCAGCGTCATACATCTGGATCATCTTGCAGGAAAATAGAAACCTTAGATGCTGAACCTGGATGTACACCGACCAACTAATAGAAGATATGTGTCTAGGAATAGACTAATCTACAAAAATGTTATGGTAGATCATGAGTTATGAAGTAGATTTACAATATATATCTGACTGAGGTCGATGATGAAAGATGAAAGGTGATGAGAAAGAGAAAACAAAAATAACTTGCAAATGTTATTGATGTGTTTTGTGATACAGCAGCATATGTCTTTTATTCATTGATTCCTTGTCACCACGTGGGTAGTAGATTTTATAGGATTTGTACAATGAAAGTAGATTAAAATTTCGAATGAAACCTCTTATTGCTCAAACAAACAACAAAAAAATCCCTTTGTAGTTGCCTGGGTGTTGTAATGGTTATTGGCATGGAAAGTGGCATCAGCATGCAGGGTTCAATTTCTAATCTAGTCTATTGCCTTCACTTTCATGCAAATTACGTTTGGGGAAAAGAATGAACGCATCACTTCTTCAAGTGTGACAAATAGCAGCAAAAGCACACATTAGCAGGCAGATTAGTTGAAGGGCTCTAAATTCTCAGCTCTGGAGTGTCCCACAGGACAATAGGTTAGTTTATTAAAATGTTGGTTCATGAATTTGGTGACAGTAATTGTGAGTTCAATCCCAGGACAGAGCAGTGTCTACTTGAGCTTATTGGAAATGGGGTGAACAATAAGAACTAGACAATATAACTCTAGACATCAGAATATTATGGGAAAACACAGCAGCCGGAATTTGAAGTTTGTTCACCAATTTTGTTCTCCATGCCAGTAACCACTCTGCCACTTTGAACTTATTTACCAGTTCTGATAGAAAGTTATTAGATCTTATTTTTTACCTTAATTTTCTGTGTTTTTATTGTCTTATCAAAATTCCAACTGCTTATTTTTTGCTTTTGTTATTGGCATGTTCCTTGTTTTTAAGGACTCAGTGGGGAATGGTCTGGATTCTGCGGGTTTTTCTACTCACTAGAACTGGTTGTTTAAAGTGGAGGTTAGCTTATGCACATTAAATTTACTCTTAGAGCTTGGATTAATTTCTCAGTGACGAGACAAACTGAAATGTCCAAAGCAACTATGAAGCTGTTTTTTGTTAGAGTTACCTTCTCTTAGTTGGGCTGCATTTACACAAGAGTCTTATCCTTGTTATGCCTTTCTCTTAACTACCGAAATTGAACTTGGTTTGCCAATTCCATTTTACATGTTGTTAACCATTCTACTACTGAGCACTTCCAACTGCTCAGTTGAATTATCAGTTAAATCTGCATTTAACTTGAAGGGGTTTCTTTTAAACAAACTAGAATTTAATTTTTATTTCACCTCTAAACTTAATGAATCACTCCCCTCACATTTGTGAGGGGGTGATGAAAAATTCTTGGCCCGACTGAGAAGAGAGTATAAAATTATTTCTTTTTGATTATTTGGTCAGATTTTGAAAAGTGAGTGAGGTCAAGAATTATTTACCACTTCTCATACAGGGTCAGACAGAAATATCTCCCACATCTCCTGCTCAGAAATACCTCCCACATAATGGTAACACATTAACTAGATGAAGACACCATTCTCACTAACATTTTATCATTATGTGGGAGGAACTTCTGGGAGGTATTTTTTGCCACTCACTGTAGAGAGCCATCATACTAACCAATTTAGAATCAGATCAAATCTAAATTTTTCAAACTTCTATCTTCTATGATTTGTTGTTCTTAGTAAATTAATGAATTTTCTAATGTCTCATGATTTAATACTCGTTACTCATTTTAGGCATGGCAGACTTATATTGAAAGACAGCCATTGAGATTTTTTGATCGTGAACTTTTACCCCAGATGGTGAACATCAGTCGACGTCTTTCTAAATTTGTGGGTAAGTTTTAAGATTTCAAATGATTTACAAATTGGCTCTTTTGAATGACAAATATGCAAATTGGCTAGTCTAAGATTTTATTGATCAATCTTATATTTTGATTGATCAATCATTAATTTAAACTGTCGACTTTTGAACTTTTGCACATAATACTTTGCACCGATTCAGTTGTATTTGAAATTCTTTTTACTTTCTTTCTGCTAATACACTATTTCTAAATATTCAATTTTCAATAATCACCTTCCCTCCCCATATAGTAAATATTGATAATGATTATTATTTTACAAAATTAACCACATTGTCTTCCTTGATTTTCTCAAAAACTGTATGTGTTATGTAAAATTGTGTATCTGTCTCTAATTCTGAGATGATATATTATGAAGAAGGTCGGAGCCTACAACGACCAAAACGTAATAAATATGGCGACAAAGATGAAGACAATAGTTCGAATAATGAGAACTTTCAGAGGGAAATTAACAGGAGATAACTGATAACTGACATCCATAAAACATGGCACATGGAACTAGAACAGTCTACCCCAGTGAGCGAAATAAAGGGTTCAGTTCGACATTCCAACCATCTGAAGAAGGCCGGAGTGTACAATGGCCGAAACGTTGTAATAAATATGGCGACAAAGATGAGAGCAATAGTCTGAATAATGTAAATAATGTAAAATTGTGTGTTATGTATGAGTGCATGTGTTACTCTCAGTTGAATTTTATAAAATCTTTCTCTTAAACAATTTTTCAGGAATGGTTTCTCAAGTTCAGGAGTTGTTTTTGTTTTTTCTAGTATTGATAGGAGTTTCCTTTATTTGAAACAGTGCCAACACTTTGATTATGATTTGATAGGTTAATCTGCATTTTTTTTTACTAAAGCATGTAAGATTTTGATTTGGTACGTCTAAGATTTTATTGATCAATCGTAGATTTTGATTGATTAATCATTAATTTAAACTGACCACTTTTGAACTTTTGCACATAATGCTTCCAGTTGTATTTTAAATTCTTTTTACTTTGTTTCTGCTAATACACTATTTCTGAATATTTAATTCACCTCATCCAATAATCACCTTCCATCCCCATATGCTAGTAAATATGGTAGTAGATTTTGATAGTGATTATTATTTTACAAAATTAACCGCAACATCTTCCTTGCTTTTCTGAACAACTGATTAATCCATTTTTTGCTTTATGAAGGCATTTTTGGTTTATGTGTATTTATAAATGCATACAGATTGTGTGTATGCTTTTATAAGTGTATTTTGTGGGTATGAGTTTAAAAATATGTGGCTGAGGCTATCTACTTTAAGTATATATACACTTCTATATATGTGTGTATCTGTCTTTGTGATTAATCCATATATATATGTGTGTATTATGTATGAGTTCATGTGTTACTTTTAGTTGCATTTTATAAAATCTTTCTCTTAAAACAATTTTTCATGAAAGGTTTCTCAAGTTCAGTAGTTGTTTTCACTCTTTTTATTGATGGGGAATTCCTTTATTTGAAATAGTGCCAACATTTTGATTATGCCATTATTTTCTCTTCAATTTATATGTGCTATCCATTTTTAATGCTGCTGTCTTTGAAAGTCCTCAAATAATGTAGTTTCTGTTATTTAATAAAGTTCTTTTTTTTTGTGATTTTGTAGCCCCAGTGTACTACAAGAAGGATGGTCCTCACTAAGACCTACAGGCTTAATTCACTCAAAGCCATTTTTAATAATTGATCTGAGGAACCGGGTTTATACAGTTGGCTGTTTAGAGAATTCTGAATGAATTTCTGAAAAATTTCTGTATAAGATCTGTATAATTGTGTACAAGTGGCATGTACACAGGTATGTGTGAAAACTCTATCCTTAATTACAACTGGAACTAGTCCTCAGCAAGTTCAGTGATTAGAAAATGAGTAAGAAAACAAGCAGTATAATGTTGTCTCAGCTTAGCTCACATTGGTAACAAGACACATGCTGTGCATAACTTAATAGCAGAACAAACTTTTTTAATCTCTGAGATTACTAGAGTCTCTTTGACTTCTGCAGATTTTGTGAAAAGGTCCACTGGTTAAGTTCTTCTTATGGTTTTAATACATGAATTTTGGGATGATAAAAAAAACAAGTTTTGCTGCTATATCTAAGCTGGAGCTGACCACTTCTTTCTTTGCAACCTTGACCAAGTTCAAATGTGTTTACACAGTCTTGTGGGTAATAAATTATTTCCCACCCTGCAGCCCTTCTCTCACAGATGCAACATCACAGGCCTCTCACTACTCTATCATTATTTCCTTTCTTTCTTCTCTTGTTCTTGTAATGGCATTCACCCGGGGTGGGTTGAGCCGGCTCCAATATTGGAGTTTCATGGGAATTTGGAATTTACAAGCGGTTTCCAACCTGCATGTATAGCACATGAGATTTTGATTATAGTGGTGAAGGTTTTGTGCAGAACCATCCACACTTTTTGAAGGGACGATGACAGAGACCTGGTGCACTACATGCCACAAGATCCCCAAACAACCCTCCGCAGGTTTTGAATTAAGAGGTTTTCCTTCTCCTAGACCAGTTACCATCCAAGGCTATAGAACCCGGTCTGTCCTGCTATTTACTCATAGCTGGAGGGAGAAGAAGAGGATTCACACCTTCTCCAAGAGTATTAGCACGTAAGTGAATGTAATGGATTCGAATCATCCTCCATTCCATTTGTAATCCATTAGTAAAGAAGAAGTTCCATTTGGACAGCTTCTACTAAAGAGACACTACTTTATGCAACATACTCCTGAGAAGATGATTCCTTGAACACTACAATCTTAATCTTTTCAAGTCTCGGGTCAATCTCGAATGTGTGCTCATAATTTGCACTGACTTCCCCTTTCTACATCTATACAAACTCATTTAGTAACCCTCTAACTTGAGTGGCTCTTGAGCCTTGTATTGTGTGAACATTTAGTAAAAATATGAGATGTTGTCACAAAGTTCCCAGATCAAAACCTCCCGTTGGACTCCATCACTGATTCCAATCATATGAGAATAGAACTGATGAATTATTTGGTAATCGTCCGAATGGATGAGTTCACTTCCTGGAGATTGGTTGCCCTTGACTGCTCATCATCTTGAATTGACATTCAACCAACCTTGAAACATAAACCTACAAAATGTTCACCAAAAGTGTGAATATGTATTTTCTTGCATTGCATGTCGTCTCTGAACTGTGGTTGTCTATGTGCAATTCTTCAGTAGGGACCACCATTGCTACTTCAGTAAACCAAATCAATGACAATTTTCCTTGTTTTCTCTGGATACTCCATAATTTTAGACTTGTGCCAAGTAAACACCCTTATAATTTACCTTGTTGTTGAGATCGTTGTGTGTATTTCTAACTGGCGAGCCAGAGATTGATGTTCAAGCACAGGTGAAATTCAGTGTTTTCAATACTGATTTTCCAGGAAAATTGACATGAGGAAATCTATTTGGACTTGTGGCAAACTATGTCTTGTACAATCACTAAAGTTAGGGAACATCAAGCCTGGTCAGTAGTTAGATGGGTTGGTAATCCATAAAAAACAAGTCAATCAATCATCTACCAAACTTTGCTTCATAAACATCAATATTGAAAAGCCAAAATAATTTAGAACTCGTCAAATGGGTTTGATTTAAATAAAAATATGCTTTTGATTCTTTTAATGCTGTTAAATGTTCTTAATGAAACATGCTTGCAATATGATTTATGGCAAAAATGCAGCAATAATTACTGTTAATTAAATTAATTAAATCCATGGTTTAATTAGAACCAAAAATATTGTATTGCCATTGAATTTCATTGACAATTTCAGATTAACTTCAATTGTAAATATACAGGTCCTGTTTGGCTAAAGGATGAACTAAACTGGAGAAATTGTGGCATGTGTATTAGTTTTAGTTCAATTCTGTCTTATTCTGCAGACATGAACTCAAATGCCTCTAGCTGATTTTAAAGGTCTTGAAGTGAGCAATTATTGAAATAACCATTTTTGTTTTTGCCACAAGCCAAACTTGATATCCAAGAATAATTATTATTATTAAAGTGTTTGTCAAGAAAAAATTTTAAAATCTGTATGAATTAATATTTGGTAAAATCAACAAACTAGACAGTCTCAAATTCTAGTAAACATTATTTGAATATATTGTACTAATAATTACTGTACTGATTAACTAATTTCAGACTAAATAAAAACCTCTTTTTTTGAAAAATTATTAACATGATATCCCTGCTGAGTGGATGGCAAAAAAATATAAAATTTGATTACCTAATAATAAATGGAGAAATATAAAAATTATACAGCACTTAAAGCATATATGAAATTATACAGCAGTTAAAGCATATATGAATATTATACAGCACTTAAAGCATATATGAAATTATACAGCACTTAAAGCATATATGAAAATTATACAGCACTTAAAGCATATATGAAAATTATACAGCACCTAATGCATATATGAAAATTATACAGCACTTAAAGCATATATGAAAATTATACAGCACTTAAAGTATATAAGAAAATTATACAGCACTTAAAGCATATATGAAATTAATAATATACAAAGTTTTGCCCTTTAAGCATGTATAGCTTTTAAGTTATTAGGAATGTTATATTCTTCAAGTAACACATTGAAATAGTCAAGCATTTTCTGTTAAATATTCATAGATAATATTATGTTTAATACTACATCAGTGCAGGTATAAATAAAAGACAATATATGAGGTACCATATTTTCCAGCTTACAAAACACACTTTTTTTCCTAAAAGATACCCAGAAAGATATGTGTGTGCCTTCTAAGATGAATGTAAAGCAAAGACCAAGCTCAAGTAAGCTTAGACGGTCACCTTGACTGATAGGGATTTAGATTCGTATGCTGAGTCATTACACTATAATGTTAGCTATCTATTTAATTCAGCCTTTTATAATGATTTTCCAAGCGTAGCTTTGATGTGGCACAGATCCGAAAGTATGGGGCTCCCACTGAGGATCAAAATCACTACTCATTCATAATTGTTCTAGCAAGATGGGCTTGCTAACCTTTACACTGCCTCGGGGTGCAAATTTAGCTTTTGATATGATGTAACCTCAGTACTTAGCTGTTACAAGTATTTTCAAGGCTATAAACCTTCCTGGAGCCAAGCCACAATCTTAAACATGCTGTTTACTACCAACAGTGGGAGCCTTTTTCCTCTTGACTATTATGTCATTGCCATACAAACAAAATTGGATGAGTGATTAATATATACAATACATGGCACCAGTATGTATGAGATGTATGGTGAATGTGTTGTATGTGAGTGATTTTTTTTCTTAGAAAGTTCTTTCCAATATTAGGGTGTGTATCCCAAGCCAGAAAATACGGTATTCAGTGTGAGAAGCAGTTTACATAAAATCCTGAGTTGAAGTAGTAAGAGGAGGGATTAAGAAATCTTCTTTTATTTAGGCACTTTCTTTGTCTATATTTCTGAGATGAGGTATTGTAGTGATACTAGCAAATTAGTATGCATAATTTGCATATGCAGAAGTGAACATTCTTATAAGTGGTCACTGAGAATAACCACTAGTAGTATGAGTCTAGCAACTGATTAGTGCTAACCTTTACTTCACAACAGGTATTATGTAAACTATTTACATTATTTGGACTATTGTCTTCATCTTTATCGCCATATTTATTACAATGTTTCAGTCGTTGTATGCTCTTGCCTTCTTCAGTATCTGTCTATATTTCTGAAATGAGGTATTATGTACATTACTTATATTATTCAGGCTATTGTTCTCATCGTTGTCACCATATTTATTACAACATTTCGGCCGTTATACGCTCCAGCCTTCTTCAGGTGGTTGGAATGTCGAACTGAACTCTTTATTTCACTCACTGGGGTAGACTGTTCTATGTTCCACATGGACACATGGCACAGCGGATAAAGGTATTAGATAGATCCAGTGACAGGACCCAAAGAGTGTGAGTTCAATAGGAGAGGGCTCTTTTGCCTGCATTCCTCCCATTTCGGTGCCCATATAATCTCCCTTGTTCCTAGTCTCCTCACTATCATCATCATCATCATCATCTGACTATTCTATTACTGTTGTTTCTGGCTCTGAAGGTGGATTGCCCGATCCCATTCTAAGTGGTAGCAGAGTGCCAGAGTCACTTTCAGACGACACGCTACTCCCTTCATCTTCCTCCGGGGCAGTTAGTCAATAACGAGGGTGAAAATATTTCACATGGCGTAGTACACCATTAATTAGTACTGTTTGAGGGCTGACTATTTTATCAACTCATCCATTGCTGAATCTGCTAGTGCATTGTCTGTTCAGGGTTTTAATCCAGACATGGTCTCCCACTTGGTACAGAGCATCTACACTTTCAATAGGTGTTGTTATCACATCTATCCCTTTTACCTGCTGCTCATACTCACAGATTCCATTGGCTGGTGCAGTTGATGGTGCTGTATCATCCTTGGGAGTCATGTTGTACCAGTACACAGCCTCTTGAGCCTCTTGGAGTGAAATAATTAAAAATAAAATAATAATGACTGAAAAAAATTATGTTTATTTAAATTTTTTTGTTCTATAGTCCATAGATATTTTATATATATATTTTTTTTATTTATAATATATTTTTAGTTTTTAGATATTTTTTATATATATATGGATATATTTTATATACGTAGATATTTTTTCATAAAATAATGAATAACAACCTTGTTCTCATATTTCTTTTTAAATGGTCAATAATAAATACTGCAATGTAATTGATTCATATATTTTGAAAATTTGGCAGATTTTTATAAATATTTGAATAAAAGGTTTTCTTTTCAAATTTCTTTCTTTATTAAATGGTAAATAATAAAGGTTTCATTGTACTTTTTTTTACATATTTTTGTAATTTTGTAAATAATCATTGCTGAGGGCGTATTGGTTGTATACAATAATAGTGGTGTCAAGGGAATAACAGTCCTTATGAAACATTATCTTTTTTGTGGATATGAAGGTTAAATTTTGCTGGTTTATCTTTTCACCCTCTCTCCCAGTGCCTATTCTGCTATCCATTTACACAAGCTTATTAGGTAGGTTATATTCTGCTTTTCTCCGTTTCTCATATACCTCTGAGTGTCATTTTTCCAGGCCCTCTTTTCTCTTTATTTGTCTGAAAAATTTCTATTGTCTTTTTCTGCTTCTAAGTACAAATGTTTTTTTCTTCCCATTTTCCTTAAAACTTCCTTACTGCTCACATGTTCCCTCCATAGAATTCTCAGCATCATTTTGTAGAATTATAGCTCTGTTGCCTGTGAGGAAATTATCCAGTATTTACTGTAATAAAACTGGTCCAATATTGCATAACTGTCTTTTCTTTGATTCTAATGATATTTTCTTGTTTTTTAATACTTTGCTTAGCTTTTGGAAGGCATCTTTTAATAGTCCAATGTGCCTTCAGATTTCAGTGTTTCATTTTTCTTCCTTTGCTAAAACTCTTCCCAGATATATCAGTGAAAAAATTTCTGGTTTTACCATTAATTTCAAAGATGATGTCTAAAAGAATAAAATCTTTATTTAATGAATTTTGTACAGACTTTTCTTTTGCTGTTTCCTTCAAAGAACTTAATTTGCTTCTCTTGTAGGATGCGACGCCACAGATTTGGTGCTGGTTACAAATGCTACAACAGCCATAAACTGTGTTATCAGAGGAATAAATTTCCAAAAGGGAGATACCATTTTCTTCCTTAGTACTACTTATGGTAAGTCTGTTATTTAGTTGAATCGAAAAAGCTAGTGAAATATTTCAAAGAATTAGATATTGTACAATCCCTGATATATTTTTTAGATTTGTCTTGTATTTTTTGTTTTACCCACATTACAGCCATGTGCCTCATCTTATCTTCATTGGAGAGCATGTAACTATACCTGTATTCTTTGTTTTTTTATAGTATCAGTTGTTTTTTTAACCATTTCATCTCAAGCAAGGCAATAAAGCCACTAAGACGCAAGAGGCTTTTGAGTGTAAAAAAATATGAGAAAAAGAAAAACATTATTTAGGAGAGAGAACAATAAAAGGACAAAATTAAGACGATAGAAGATAACGATTGATATTAAACTTTTGAGCATCAAAGTTAAACTGGAAGAGAATTCCACAAACAAGAAGTGTGAGAAAAGAAACTGTTAGCATAGAACTTACATTTACATTTAGCAATTTTGACTGTAAAATCATGAAACCTAGTTGCCAATCTAGTATTGCGTTTAAATTTATAAGGTCTAGGCACCAAAGAGGAAAGCTCATTAAAACAATTACCATGGAAATATTTATAGAAAAGAAGCTACATTACTATGATGGGAAAGAACTGATGCTGAGATACCAAGTCAGGACTGATAACATTGCAGATTCATCTTTGGATTTTATCAAGAATCTCTAAATACATAGATGTCCCAGTTTCCTAAATACAAATACCAGTAAATATTCCCTCAATACAAGCCCCAAGAGCCATTCAAGATAAAGGGTTACTGAATGAGATCATTGTAAGAGTGTAAAGAAAGTAAGTAAGAAGTACATATTACAAGGATATGTAGGATAGATAATGTTTGAACTTAGTCTTGAAGAGGTTAAGATCATAGTGATCAGGGAAAACATCCCCTCGCAAGTCTGTTTCACATAATAGCAGTTTTAGAGAAGAGGCTTTCTAAGTGACACTTACTCCTTACCAATGGAATATGAAAAGAATGAGGATGAGTCAGCTCTGTGTACATGGCTGATCTTAGCTATGAGAGTTTGAACTGGTGGAACTAAGGAATTGAACTTGTCTAAACATTTGTCATGAAAATAGTGATAGAGTAGTGAGAGGCTAGCAATGTTTCATCTTTGGGGTGGAAAGTAATCAATCATCCACAAGGATGTGTGAATGATTTTGACCTCTGTCAAGGCTGGATAGTGATGGCTGGGAAAATCCAGCTCAGATATGGCAGCAATACTCCATGTTTGGTCAGATCTGTCAAGAGGAGGTAAGTACATAGATCTAATCATTTTTCAAGTATCATTATTTATAGTATGAATATCTGAGTTCCACAAGGTACTGCACCTCTTACTCTGTAATCATCTACCTCGAGTGGCTCTTGGGCCTTGTAAAGGGTGAACATCATTGTAAAAAAAGTAGAAACCTAATTGAGAGTATTGAAAGTTACAAACCATTTTTTTTTTCCCATTGAGATGTTAGTTAGGTCAGATGTTAGTTAGTTGCAAGGCTCTAGCTTTTTTTGTTTTTTTTTTAATTGCATTCACCCGATGCAAGGCAGTAAAGCCACTAAGATGCAAAGGGTTGTTGGGTGTCAAAGAATTAGAAAACAGAAACATTACTAGTGAGCAAAAACAAAAAGAATAATCAGGAGGACAGTAGATAGCGATTGACATTGTATTTAAACTTTTGAAGATTAAGGTTTACTGGAAAGCATGAAACCAAAAGTGATTTCCATAAGTGAGAAATATGAGAAAAGAAACTGTTAGCATAGAATTTAGTGCTACATCCAACCAACTCAGCTGTAAGTTAATGGCGATCTTGATGCCAGTCTAGTGCCGAGCTTAAATGCAAAATGTCTAGGTACCACAGTGAAGAGCTCATCCAAACAATTACTATGAAAGTATTTATAGAAAAGGCACAGGGAGGCAACCTTATAGTAGGGCGCGGTGGGGGGGAAAGTGACTGAAGATGAGATGCCAGATCAATTATCTACATTGATATTTCTTAATGATCTGATCATGTTTTTAGGCAGATTGTTAATATAAAACAGCAAGAAGAGCCTTGCTTGAATGCTAGCATTCATCACATGTGATAAGATGACTGGCTATTAATGATGACCTTATTGCATCTTGTGTTTTACCATTACATTGTATCTTATTTACTCAACTTGACTTTCCAGGAACCAAATTAGGTATCATGAGATTGAAATGAAGTATCATGGGATTGAAAAGAAGTATCATGGGATTGAACATAGCATGCAAAAAACCAAAAAAAAACAAAAAGAAAGAACAGTGAGTCTATGCCTAATCTCTTGTCTGGCAGTAAATACTAGATAATGTCATCACTTCTTCTTCATCTGCAGAACATAGTCAATCATTTCACAATTTCCTATCCTTTGTAGCTCTTAACAATTTTTGTGTAGGTAATTCAGTTCGCCCGTCATTTGCGATGACTGAAATGGATTAAAGTGCTTGCTTTTGCCCAGTACTCCAGTCTACCAACTGAGCTGTCGCTAGTGACCTATTATTCTCTCAGTCTCGTTAGTACGCTGTCACGCCAATAATTCACTCTGTCGTCTTCATCCCAGACTTGCTATTTATGCCCGCGTCGGGGGTAGCTACAATTACACATTTTGTCCTTTCGTTATTTCTCCCAAACACTGTTCTGTCTTCCATTTACTCAAGTTCTCTAGGTAGGTTATGCATTGTTTTCCTCTGTCCCTCTTGCCTTCAATCTGTCCTGTGAGTATCAGATTTTCCAAGCCCTCTTTCCTCATTATGTACCCTAAAAATTCAGCTGTCTCTTAATGATTTAAGTATAAGTTTGCTTTTTGTTTCTATTTTCTCTACAACTTTGTCGGTGCTCACATATTCAGTCCATAGTATCCTTTCTGTTAATATCATCAAAAATGAAAAAAAAAGACTTGAAGCGACAGAGATGTTGTTTTACCAACAAATGTTGGGAATAATATAGAAACAAGGAAATTTTAAGGTGAGCACAAAGTACACAGAAACTGTTGCTAACAGCTGAAATTTTGAGAATACATAATGAGGAAGGAAGGCAAGAGAAGTTTAACACTCACAGGGGACAAGAGAAGCAGAGGAAATCATTAAGCCCCCACCTTGGCACGTTTTTGCAGTTGGATGGAGAATTACAAAAAGAGCTATAATACAGCAGCAAAAGAAGCTGTGGAGAGTCATGATTGTCTACAGCTTGAAGGGACATACCAGATAGCAGGATAAAGAGATGATAATTTTATAAAAATGTTGAAAAACAAAATCTATAATAATTCTTTGAATTAGTAAGAACTTTTCTCGTTGTACAAGATTCATATCTAAAATATAAGAGCAGTTTTTTAAAATTACCCATTTGTTAATATTTCAATGTTTATTTACATCATATGCAGAACCATTTGGCTGGAAAGAATATATTTGTGTATACAAGATGATAAAACAGTTATTAATAAATAAAGAGACATGACAGCAAATTATAAAAGAAGCAGCAGTGAAAGTGGCAGTGAGTAAGACTAAACATGTCATCAACAGGCATTTGATTTAAGACTTCAAGCTCTAGATTCTGGCTTGACCCACAGGACAACAGACTTTTGCAGATAAAAGCATTGGTTTGTGAATTTGATGTCACAGAAATTGTGAGTTGGATGGATTAGTACAGATTTATACTCAGTTGAAACAAGGTGAGCAATAAACAAGCAATATCAAATACAAACAAAACAAGATATCCTTAGAAATGGTTAGGAGAATAAAAAAACTACCCATCTATAGATTAAATAGTCTTATCCAGATTGATAGACACCTGAAAAATGTAGTAATTAAAATTTATCAATAATAACAGATAAAAAATATAGTCATTAATAGCAATTAAAATAAATACTAGTCACTTTTAATAGTAAAAAGAAAAACTTGTCAGTAATAGTAGTTAATAATAAATACCAGTCAGTATTAATAGTTAATAATAAATACCAGTCAGTATTAATAGTTAATAATAAATACAGAGTAGTAATAATGTTAATAATAAATAATGGTCAGTAATAATAGTTAAAAGAAGTTGCAGTATGAAAGATTGAGGAATGAAGAAGAAATGGAGACGAAAAATTGAGTTATGTGAACTTAGCTTTTTTCCCCCCATAACAGATATCTGTGGAATGAAAAAATGAAGTAAACAGAAAACAGCAAGATGGGAGAATTTATTAAGTGAAATGGGGGAGTTGGTTGCATTCTGGGAGAAAGGTAATAGTAATATTAACAGTTTTCATTATAAGGAAACATTTGGAATTCATTGATTAAGTAGACAGTATTGCTGTCAGTTAAAATTTATAAAAACTTTCTCTTAAAACATTTTTTTTAGGAAAACAGGTTTCTAAAGTCCAGTAGCTGTTAATGCTCTTTCAAGTATTGATGGAGGTTTCCTTTCTAACCTTTAGTTTGAAGCAATGTGAAACATCAACATCTTGATTATGTCACTATTTTCTTTTGGGGTTACATGTGATATCCATTTTACTTGTTGCTGTTATTGAATGTTCTTAAGAAATGTGGTTTCTGTTATTTGGTACAGTTCTTTGTGATTCTGTGGTATCAGCCCACATGGTTCAAAGAAGGAAGGTCCTCATTAAAACCTTCTGGCTTCATTTGCTCAAAGCCATTTTTAACCATTGATCTGATAAAGCAGATGTATATTGGCCTGGAGACTCTTTACCCTGTGGCATCAGAAATTGTTACAATCAGTGACCTCCAGGCTGCAGTAGATGACCTGGACTTCTACATGTGACATCCATGCCACTTGGTGCACTCCATGCTGACACTGCCTTCATAGCTGTTAGATCTATAAGAGGTCTCATCTCCCCACTCCACCAGCAATCACACTTCATATGCAATAGAGCTGACAGACCCAAAATTATTGAGGGTTTAGGTCTGTTAACTATCCTTAAATAGTTTGTTCACCAGTCAAAGCAATTTACCAAGTTGGTCTCTGTTGCATGTAAACATTTGGGGCTAGAGATGAAAGTTGGATACTGGGCATCCCTCCCAAACACTGACATATTTGAGGATATAGGATTCAATTCAGCTATTATTGGATAAATGTCAAGTTAATCTATGAGATAAAGTAGTGTTAATGTAACTAATGTCAACTTGTATCACTAAAACTGATTTTCAGTTGAAGCAAGTTCTCTTTATGCAATATAATCTCCTTTCGTCTTTAGTTGTGATTGTGCTAGATCAACATAAGTTTAGTAAATGTCATTAACAATAATAGATTCATTGATGTTGAAAGTTTTCTTTCTTTTTATTCTGAAGCAGGACATTTAAAATTTTTCTTCTTTTTAGGTGCTGTAAAGAAGTTGCTGAAAGAGGTTTCTGAAGAAAAGGAATTGCACCTACAAGAAGTGCAGTTGGTGCCACCAGTCACATGTAAAGAACAGGTATTTTTGAAATTAAAATTCTTTGTTTTATGTGTTTTTTGAATGCAAAAACTCATGAATTGCATAGCAATCAGGAACCAAAAAAAGGCTGGATGTCCATCAAAAACATCTGTGAAGGCAGATAATGTAATTTTACCAAGAATAGGGCAAGAGATAATGTGAAATGATCCTTCTTTAAAGAAAATGAAAGTTATCGGTCATGCTGGAAAAGCTATTGGCAAAAATAAAAATAATTTAAATGTATGTGTTGAAGGGGAAGATCTGTTTTGGCTTGATTTGGGGGGGGGGACATGGGAGAGTGGAAAGACTTTTTATAGTTAAGAAAGAAAATCTAACAGGAAGTCTCTTGTAAAAGCAATCCTCTTGAAAAGGAATTTTCAGGCAACAAGGAAATTAGCTTACTTTCAACAGTCAATATTGTAGAATATACTGAAGCTAAAAAGAAGGAATTACATAGCTGGGCTGAAAACAAAGTGTCTTCTGTTGTATCAAACTCAGGCTGAAATAAAATTACAAAAATGGTTTAGCACAATATGCTGTCTCAACTATCTCTGTCAAGAAAATGGGAAGAACGCAGAATAACAGACCCCACCCCACTGTGTGCGTAAGAGATGAAGATTTGTGCTGTCATTATATCAAGAAAAAACATGACAAAATTCATACAAAATGAAAATTGATGAATTTAAAGAAATTATAAAAGATAATAATCAAATAATAAAAAATTAGTCTGTTAATGTGGTGTCTGTATGGATATAAAGAAAATGATGAAAATTCATCTGATTTGACATTGTTCTGTCAACTCATTTTTTTTTACTCACTTCACTTAAAGTAAGGCAAGAGAGCCACTAAGATGCAGAGGGTGACTGGGTGTAAAAGATTATAAGAAAAACATTATTAAGGAGTGAGAACAATATAAGAACAGAATTTAAGAAAACAGAAGATAATGATTGACAATGTATTTAAATCTTTGAAGTACCAACTTGTCTGGAAAGCCAGAAGCTGGAAGAGAGTTCCACAAACAGCAAGTGCAATAGAAGAAACTGTTAGCATAGAACTTACATCTACCTATTTTGACTGTAAAAGGACAAGATCGTACCACCCATCTATTAATATGCTTAAATTCATAGACTCTAGGTAACATAGAGGAAAGTACCTCAGGACATTTACAATAACAATATTTATAGAAAAAGAAAAAAGTAAGCATACAGGAAAAAACATATCAATAAGAAAGAATTCTTTTTTTTTTCAAAATTCTAAAATGGATATTATATAATCTTAATATTAATTCATTCATGATTCAAGGAATACTACTACTTCAGGTTTTATGGAGGTTTGTGTTGTCAACCACAAAAAAAAAATTGTTATTCCTGGAACTGTAGTGGAAATTGTGATGAAACTTTGTGTACAAAATAGAGGAAGAGAAATGGACTAGCAGTAGGTTTTTGGTGGAATTTAAAGAATTGACATTTTGCTAAAGAGTTTGTCAAAGACAGAAGCAGAGAAAATCTGGAAGGGTTAAAGAATACAAAACCAAATACATTTGGACGTTACAATTATATGTGATGACTGGAGTGCATTTAATGACTTAAAATTGGATTTAATTATGAAACCATTATCTATGAAGAAAATTTTATTTTTCACAATTCCTGATTCTATATAGAATCATGTTTATTTTTTTTTAAATCACCTAGAGAATTCCTTCTCTAGAATGCAACAATCTTCTGCAACTATTGAAGTCAGCTGGCATCAACTTGTTATCTTAGGTTATAGGCACTTTTAACCTATATCTTTTGTTGGAATCACACTTCTCTTACAGATTTCTTTCTTGGTTTCTATTAGCCAATTTAATAAAAACTAAACTGACACCAGTCTACAATGACTTCTTTTTTTTTATATATTTTCTCATAATGAAAGTTTGCCAAAATCTATTCCTTCTTTTTCTTGTACTTATGGATTCCGCTTTTGTGGTACTTTTAAAAGACAATTGATTTTATATCTGTTTTTGTCACTTATCAGAAAAGTTCCTCCCTTCTAAGCCTAAAGTGTTCTTAATACATACTCTGTCTCTGAATTTCTGAGATGTTCTTGGACGTAATAGTCACAATGTTTTAGCTGTTAGACATTCTAACCAAGGTTTCTGTCATGTGTAATAACTGTGGTGACTCATAGACATATGAAGTCACAAAGACTATAAATAGCTACAGCTATTACCCATGAGGCATTTGAGTGCCTACTACTTCCCTTGAGTCAGTAACACTACACGACAATGGCATTAGAGATATCTAAAGAACCAAACAAACATTTATCACTGAGTAACTATGAAGATGTACAAAACCTGGTTTAGGATAATAGCAGCTAAATCTAGAGCAAAAAAAAAGCTGAAGGATTTTAAATCAGTCGGAGGAGAAAACCAAATAACTGATCTCTTCTTAGCAACTGCTCGTTGTGAGGCCATTATAAAATTATCAGCAAGACAGTTGGAGCAATTGATGTTTGATGATATAAATCAATTAATAGTAAAGAACAAAGCACCTAAGAAAAATCTAGTGAATGCAGAGAGAGCAAAGTTCGTGAATATTTCTCAAAGAGTGAATGAACCATTTTTTGAATATGATCTTTGTTTAAAACAGGCTACTAAATATTGTGAATTTGAGAAGCTGTGACTGGAAAACCAGTCAATCGAAGAGGATTTGATCCAAATTAAATTGGTGAATGGCCTTCAAAATGAGGAGTATCAGCAAATGACTTTAATGTATTACAACTGGGAAAGTTGTCACTAGAACAGTGTGTTGAATTTGTTCAGCAAAATGAATTAGAACAAAAGTTACGGATCAAGTAGAGGAAATGGACACATACGCCATAAAGAAAAAAGATAAAAGTGTACCTTTTGTGGATATCAACATCAAAGAGAAAAATTAAAATGTCTGGCTTATAAAAAAAAAAATGTGAAAAGTCTTTCAAAATGAATCATTAAACGCAAATATAAATTGAAAAAGAAAAACATATAGACAGTCCAACAAAATGAAGAGGAAACAAGTATGGACATCTTTTCAGTGAAAAAAAAGAAATAAGAAAGAGTTATTAAAAATTCAAATCAATAATGTTTTATTAGACATACAAATAGATACAGGAAGTGACATGATATTAATACCCAGGAATTTTGGAAAAAATTTAGGAAAACCAAGATTAAAGAATAGTCTTGTCTAATTGACTCAGTTCAACGGATCCATGATAAAACCATTAGGTTATTTTGAAGCCTATGCGGAACTAAAAACTAAGTTTGATGTATTATCAATTATTGTGGAACATTGTGAAAAGAATCATCGTCTAACAGGAAATGATGTATTGCATATAAATTTGACAAAATTAGTAAACAAAGTCAAGGCAGAAAAAACTAGAATGTTAAAAAAAAATATGAAGCAAAGTTAAGATGAAAGGAAAATGTCTTCCCCTCATATTTTCAAGCATGTAAAGTGCCAGTCCATCCACTGCCAATAATTGTGGAAAAATTAAAAAATTACTGGAACAAGATCTACTTGAATGAGTTCCACCAGGAGGGAGAAAATTGGAATCCCCATTAATAATTTTAAGAAAGAAGGATGGGGATCTGTGCATTTGTGGTGACTATAAAATAGGTGTAAACCACAAAATATAAGTCATATCCTATCCCTATTGTAGAATGGGCTTTGAACTCCCTTGCAGGTATGAAAACATTCTCTAAAATTGATCTAAAGTAGAAATACCATCAAATACCTATTGACAAAGACTTTAAAGAAGTCTCAACAATAAACACGTCAATAGTCTTATTAAGATGGAAAAGAATGCCATATGGAATTAAAAAATGCATGTGCAATTTTTCAAAGGGCTATAGAGTGAATTATTGGTAGTGATACAATATGCTACCAGGATAACATTTGTCTTGGTGTTATTAACAATGAAGAACTAACATGGAAAACCAGTATGGTTTTGAATAATTTAAAAACTGCTGGATTAACAATTAATAAAAAAAATGTGTGCACAACACTAAAAAAATATTATTTTTGGGATATTTCATATCTAATGAAGTCATATCACCAGACTAATTGTTAACTGACAAAATGTTAAAAGTTGAAATACCTAAGAACGAAAAAAATTGTAATCTATATTAGGACTTGTAAATTTCAACAGACAATATGTCGAGTGATACTTCAAATTGACAGAACCTTTTTGCTGCTTTAAGAAAATAGAATGTGGAATTTATTTGGACAAAACAACAAATGGCATTTGAAAATTCAAAAACTGTTCTGGCAAAAAAGCCAGTGGTATAAATATTCAACCCTAGAAAGGAAATAGTAGCAATAACTGATGCAAGGGAACACTCAATTTCAGGAACATTAGCTCAGGATGATCATATATCTCTCAAGAAAATTGTCAACAACAGAATTGAAATGAGAAATAAGTGTTGGCCATAATATGAATGACAAATAGAGCTTGTCAGTTTTTTATTGGTAGAAAACTTGTAAGGTCTGATCAAAGACTTTTTGAATACATATTTAATCCTAGGAAGGAACTTCCTAAGGTAACATCTTCTAGAATTCTAAAGTGGGCCTTAATGTTAATGGCATTTGATTCTGATATTGAGTACGTGAAAGGCAATACCATTTTGCATGTAGATGTTTTGTCGAGATTGAGGTTCATTACTTCTGAAAGTGAGAAAGAGGAGGAAAGATACTTTCTTACACTTGGTCGAAACTGATATTTTGTCGGTAGACAAATTAGTTGAGGACAAAAAGCAAGATCTCATATTGAACTGATTCAGATAAAAAGATAATAAGTGGAATAATTGCTCGTGGGTAGAAAGTTGTTTTAAAGAGGTTAAACACAAATTAAATAGAAAAGGGTGTAATTTGTAATCGAGACATAGTGGTTCCACCAGCAATGCAAAATTATGAAAAAGGAGCAAAATTATAAAAAGCATACATGATGATGTTCATTGCAGAATAACATCAACAAAGTAGATTAAGGCTAGAGGCATGGTGGCCAGGCTATTCTACAGTTGGAGAATACATAAAAAGGCGTAAAATGTGCAATGAAAGAAGGAAATTCAGACAGATAAAAAGACATACATGGCCTAAAGGTTCCCAACCTTGGAACAGAGTACACATGGATCATGACTATGTTAATGAAGTGAGATTATTACTAATACTGGTTGATTTATATTCAGGCTGGCCAGAACTAATACAGGGTTCCAACAAGAGAAGTTTGACCATGAATCAAGCGTTAAGGATCATATTTTCAAGAAATGGAATTCTGAAAATTCTAGTATCTGACAATGCCACGGAGTTCTGTGATGAGGAACTATGTCAATGGTTTGGACAAAGTTGGATGCAAACCATATAAAACCTAACTGTACCATTCACAATTAAATGGATTAACAGAAAGGATGATACAAACTATAAAACAAATTGAAAAGATGTGAACAACAGAAAGAAATGATAGAAACATTTATTCCTAGATTGTTGCTAAGTTCTAGGACAATACGACATGGTGGAAGATGGAAAAGCTTGTCTGCCCTCATGGGTAGATAAATCAGAGGCCCATTGACCATGTTTGATGACATCAATAAAACACTGTGGTATAAAAGGAATAGTGAAGGTAATCTACAAGAGTTAAGATTCATAATGCAAAGTGGACAGAACACTATTTTGATAACAGAAAAAAATGGTTTGGTTTGGTTTGTTTTGTTTTACGGCATATCAACCTCAATGGATCATTTAATGCCGACAACTTTTTTTTTTAAGTAATATTTTTGTTTTGTTAAAAATCTATTTCTGTTAATATTTTTACTCAAAAATGTATAGCTGGTAATATTATTTTTTCAAAAAACGTATAGCTGGTAATATTTTTTCCAAAACGTATTGCTGGTAATAGTTTTTTCCAAAACATATTGCTAGTAATGTTTTTTTTTCCAAAAACCCACTTCTGGTAACAACTTTTACAAAGTATTTCTGGTATTAAAACCTATTTTTACACTTTTATAATGCCTTTTACCCCAGTTTAGGGTTAACTATTTGCCCATAGCTGGGAACTTTAAGAGCAATTAAGAGGGGGTTTCATGCTCCTCAAAGCCTCCTGATCAGAGGCCTTGCTGTTGGATGTAGTTTATCGTCTTACCCTGGACATGGATGTAGTTAATCGTCATTCCCAGGATGCAGAAAAAACTGGAAATGAGATATTAGCACATGCAGACCAAATTAGATTACAACTTGATAGCAATGAAGAAATGTATTGTGAGTCTGAAAGTAATGAAGGTGGAAGTATCATGTCAGGGCAAGACAAACATGACAATGAAATCGAGAGTGCTACAAACTCTGAAGATGGACAATTGTTGGAGGAACACTCCTATGGAAAAAGATCATGATCTCCCGTATCTAGACAATCTTTTAGGGAGAAAGAGGAAGATAGTGAGTAGACAAAAACTCCCAGAAGTATTACCAGAAAAAATAGGGGGTAAAATCTCTTTGGTACATGAGATAAGATGACTCATTTACATATGAAGTTACAAAGACTATAAATAGCTACAGCTATTACTCATGATGCAGTTGAGTGCATACTACTTCCCATGAGTTAGTAAAAGCACATTTCTATTGTTTCAAGTTTCTTCTTCATCTTAAGGAGATTGTCCAGAATTCACTGACATATATGAGGACTGATATTAAATAACAGTTCAGAAATCTTTTCTTAGTTTCTAATGATATTTTTTTGTTTCTTAATACTTTGCTTAACTTTTAGAAGCCATCTTTCACTATCTTAATGCATTTTTAGATTTCTGTGTTGTACTTTCTATCCTCTGTTAATACATCTCCCCAAACTTATTTTTTTTATCAATGCAATGAGAAAATTGTTCAAAATTACAATGGATTCCTGTTTCTTAATTTGTGTTTAAGTAATGGTTTCCAGCTCCCCCTGGTCATTTACCTGACATGCAACACCATACAATAAATGAGTCGAGAAAATTATTGTTTTTTTTTTTTTTATTTCATATTAAAAATTATACTTCACTCTAAATCAGTGTTTAGTGAACTATTATTAAAGAATCATTTAATACTATAGGGAGTTTGATCCTCACTGTGTGGTTCTTATTTATTTATATTTGTGTGGACATAATTACTAGAGGCAGTGATTTATGTGTTTTATATTGTAGTTTTGTTGAAGTTAGATTTTGGAATACAGTTTGATTTCTGTAAAATTCAATATTATGTGGATTAATGTCATGAAAGAGTTATTTCATGTTGATTGATGTATTGTTGGTATATTTGTCTATAAATAGGTATTGTTGGTATATTTGTCTATAAATAGGTATTATTGGTATATTTGTCTATAAATAGGTATTGTTGGTATATTTGTCTATAAATAGGTATTGTTGGTAAAATTTTTATATAAAACCATATTGCTGGTATTTTTATTGTAGAAATGTATTTTTATACATTTATAGGGTTTTATTTTTGTTTGGTGGGATTTCACTATTTGCCCATAGCTGGGACCCTAACAGGTGCTACCACCCCGGATCAGAGTGGGCCTGGGAACAACAGCAATTAAGAGATGGTTCCACACTCTTAAAAATTTCCAGTCTACCCATTAGAGGCCTTGCTGCTGGATGTAGTTCATTGCCTTACCCAGAACTAACTGGGTGGTTTAATTGTAGCCTTGTGGCAAGTCTAAGTTTGTGTAGAAATGTAATACAAGAATTGAACTCATATGCCTATCAATCAATTGATTCTACTGATTGATTAATTCTATTGATGAGGTGTATGATCCTTAAGTTGGTTGGTTGATTCTGTTTAGTGGCATATCAACCCTATTGGATTATTTAATGCCAAAATCTAAATAATTTGAACACAATTTTATGGCTTTAATTAAATACATTTTGAGCACAATTGTATGCCTTCAACTACAGATAAAATGTATTGTTGATCATTTTTATATAAAAATGTATTTCTGGTATTTTTACTATTGAACTGTATTTTTATACTTTCATAATGTTTTTATTTGGGGGTTCGCTATTTTCCCATAGCTGGGACCCTAACAGGTGCTAGCACCCCAGGTCAGGGCGGACATGGGAACAACAGTAATTAAGAGGTGTTTCACATTCCTCAAAACCTCCTATATCCTGATTAGAGGCCTTGCTTCCGGATGTTGTTTATTGTCATACCCAGGATGAGAGAGAGAGAGAGAGAGAGGATGAGAGAGAGAGAGAGAGAGAGAGAGAGAGAAAAAAGAGAGAAAAAAAAAAAAAAAAGGAAGGGAATATCCCACTATATGCTCAATCCCTGGGTCAGGCTGGGCCTGGGAACAACAGTAATTAAGAAGTGGTTCAACACTCCTTAAAACCTCCAATCTACTGATAAGAGGCCTTGCTGATGGACGTAGTTTATCATCATACCCAGGCCAGGTCCTTAAGTCAGTCAAAAAATAAGTATATATAGGTGCATATAAATATTGTTTTTACTTGAGAGTATAGAAATTAGATTTATTTTATTGACCTGCTTATAGATTATTGATTTATATATTTACAGATAATTGATCTGGTTGACAGTAACCTGAAGAGTGGAACTCGATTGGCTGTGTTTGATCACATTTCCAGTAATTTTCCTTTGGTGATGCCATTAAAAGAAATCCTTCCAATTTGCAAAAAAAGGTTTTATATCTTTCAGTTTTACTGGTATTTTTTTTTTTCTTGACTTTTTATGAGCTTTCTCTTGACCAATCATCTTCCTTTTTTACTTTTTACTTCTTTGTCTCTGTTGCATTTCATTCATCACATTTCAAAGTTGCAATTTATAATTTGTCATTTTTTTCATGTTTTTCTCCCTTTTTTCAGATTACTCGATCATCTTTTTACACTGTATTTTTTCTTTCCTTAGCTATTCCAGTAGAAATATAACAGATATAATTTTTTTTCAAAATGTTTTTTACTGCCATTTTATTTGGCTATTAAACTATTTCTAAACATTTTTGAGCCAATCAGGTCGCATTCATTTATTTTGTCATTCTTTTATTGTTATTTTAAAATTATTTTTTATCTGTTTATTTTAGATGTTATTGTTTGATTTTTTTTCTTTTCATTGGCAGTATTTTGTGTTGATATTTTTCAATGAGTCAGGCAGCAGATTTTACGCACCATGTCTGCTTTCTGATTACTTGCTTTTCTTTCTGAAATCCATTGGATAATTTTTGCTGCCATTATTTGAAAAATCTCTGATATTTTTTAACCAATCATTTTTTTCTTTGGAAAAAAAATAAAAAACCCTGATGTCTCATGATTTCATAATGGAATCGAGATAACTTTTAAGTTGTTGTTTTCATACAGATTAAATTCAATCTTAGTTTTTTTTCTGTTATCTATTTATTAAACAAAACTTTCAGCCATCTACAAAATATATATATTGATTTTAAATCAATTTTCTGAATTAGAAATATTTCAAATTAATGATTTTTTTAATTTCTTCAAGAATGCACAAATTCCATCAGCTGTGTGTGTCTTGGTCACATGTATCTGGTTCTTCATTACAGATACATTGAAACAATATCTACTGCATGCTTACTTCTAATATGTTCACCTAATAAAAGGCCGAAGATACACTCAAGGTAGAGGAAACTAAATAGGGTTGTTGTGTGGCTGTAAGAGGAGGAAGTATATGCAGATTATGAGGATATGATAGATAACAGTTGACCCTAGACTTGAAGAGGTTAAGATTGAAGCAATCAGGAAAGCATCCTCTTGGGAGTCTGTTCCATAAAGTAACTGTTCTTGGGGAAAAAAAGCTGTCTGAATAGAACTTTAATTGTAGTTTATTGTCTGGCAGGTACTATCCCAAGCTAAATATCACCATTACCTGCCTCCATTTCAAAAGGAGAGATTTTTCTCTTTTTAATATATTTCACCAACTCAACACATACATTATATTCATATTCAATTGTTTTAAACAAAACAAAAAAAAAATTGGTTTTACTTAATATCTTTTTTCCTTTCTCAATTTCTAACTTTAATATCAGCTATTACCCAGTAGACATTTTTGAATTATTACAATTCATCATCTTTCTTAATATGCATCATAGATTTTAGCTAGTATTTATTTTCTGTGTAATTTGTCTTCAAAAGAGTCTTTAGGGGTTCAGCTTCCTTTCAGTTCTATCTTGGAAGTTATGGGTTAGGGAAATGAAGTTGGATTTCAGTTACAGTTTATTTTTTTTTTGAGATTTAGCTCACTGTGTTCAATTGCAGGGATTATCCTATCTTGTCTACCAGAAGGCCTGCTAAATGTCATGGCAATAAGCAGTATGCAAGGCAATGATCTTTGTCTTCTTCCTTATTATTCCCACTTAGAAACAGGATGTGGAAGGTAGAAGATGTGTCCAGTCTTCTCATCTGGGTGGGACTTAACTTCTCAACAGCTATCTAAATTTCATACTGACCACATGACACACATGCACACACTATGGCTAAGTACATAAATGACTTACTATTTTTTTTAGCTGTCTGTATACATCTGAATATAATTTTCTTTCTCTGTTGTTCTATATATGTAAAAAATCTGTTCATGTATTGAAATTCATTTCTTTTAAAAATGTTGAATTCATTTATTTTGAAACTTCTGAACCTCCTCATCTCAATTCTTAAACAATTGCATCTGTTATAAAGCAGCACCTCCTGCTACAACTCAGTGACCAAAAACAACATTCATCCTTTATGACATTCTATGTACAGAGTATAATGGCTAAATTGTTGCCATTTTATATTTTTAATTTCACACATGCATATTGTTTGTTTTTTATTTTGTTGACTGCACAGTATAGAAGGGTCAATTGGATTAGAGAAAAAGAGCAACATGACACAATTCACTCTGCCAGAAATTTGGAAACAGCATGCGGTACTGCTTGGCATTCGCATGGGAATCTCCAATATGAACATTTCAGTGTTTTTGTGTCAATCTGAACACAGTGCAGAGGATTCAGAATGAGTTGGATGAGTTTAATGGTGATTACCAAGGTATTTGGTGTGATCACTAGTGATGGGGATGTTATGCCTCCATTCATCTTCTCACTGGGCCTCAGACTGAACACAGAGGCCTATATCAAGTGCCTCAAGGAGATTGTGCTGCCTTAGCTCAAGATGGTGGCTACTTGAAGACCCTATGTCTGGCAACAGGATTCTGCACCATGCCACACAAGTAGGAGAATGCAGTCATTGCTGTCGGACACATTCTATGACCACATCAGCCCTTACATCTGGCTACCTAACTCCCCAGACTGCAACCCCCTTGATAATTATGTGTGGGGTGCAGTTGAGTGAGAGACCAACAAAACTCCTTGAAACACCAAAGATGAACTGAGGGCAAGGATTATAGCAGCATTCACCAACATAAATAAAGAGGATTGTCCAGAAGAGATGCAGGAGATTTTGAAACTGCCTGAAGGCTGTGGTTGAAGCCAATGCCAAATTTATTGAATAAATTTACTCTTTAGTATTTTTATGTAATTTTGGTAAATATATCTGTTAAAATGAGATGTCAGTGTTATTTTAAATTTTGCATAATTTAGATGACCATTTATCCATCGCACCCTGTATGTATATACACGAGTCTGTGTATGTGGGTGTGTATGTGGGTGCTGAGCCATTCAGCTTTGATAATAAATACATTTGACAAACTAAAACAGTTTTTCAAGGTTTACATTAAAAAAAATATTAAATGTTTGTTTCTAAGTGGAGGAAACACTTGTCTAATTTTCTTAGATTTAAATTGTTTGTAAAAATTACTTTTTCTTCCTGTAATTGTTTGTACTTTCAGGTTGTCAAAACTGTCAATGGATATAGTAGCTATTCTGTTGCCATTTACTAGGCAGGTAAATTAATTAATGGAGATTGTCTTTGTTCTCAATTGTTTGCTCTTCTTTCTTTGTCAACCATTAAGATGTTGCAGAAAAAAAGAAAGAACTGGTAATGGGACATGGTACAATGGGAATGAGATTAGTTCTTCTCAAAGACGTAAATGTCTAAGTAAAATAAAAAGTCACAATTAGAATTGAAATTTCCGTACTTGGTTCTGTTCTCTGGATTACTTTGCTGCTTCAGGTACAAAATTTATGTTGAACGAGAAGTATACGTACTTAAAAATTTATGGCAATCTTTTATCTTGTTGCTGTCTTGTTAATAAAATTCTTACTTGTTGCTTTGCTGAAAATGAAAGATCTCTCCCAGGTGGAATATATCTAGCCTCTCAATACTCTATTGGCTACTTCCATGAAAAGTGCTCAGACAAACTAAATTGCTTGGTGTGCTTTTCAAGATAAGCCCTATTTTTGAAATCTTATAGCTAAAGTTTTAGCATTGCATGAACATATAATATATAATATACATAATATAATATATATATATCTATATTAATTAATTATTATTAAATAATTATTATTAATACACACACACACACACACACACACATATATATATATATATATATATATATATATATATATATATATATATATATATACACAAATGAGAGAAAGAACAGATGGAATAAAAGTGCTCAATACAATATATTGTATGCAATATATTATTATTATTTTTATTATAAAGATTATAATAAAACATGTTGAAATCGCTACACAAAAGCTTTCATGTTTCAATATTATGATTGTATTTCTTCAAGCAATGGTAAGTAATTAATGATTAAATGATTTTTAAGGAAATTTAAAAAAAAGTGTTACCTCTTTTCTGAAAGTTAAAGGGGGTGGGGAAACATAAGGTCTGAATTAAAAATAGACTTGTGGATATATTTTGATTAACCAATTAAATGTCAGATCTACATTAAATAGAAAAGTAATGACAGAGGGTGGAGGTGGGTGAGTTATTTTTTCGCATCATGATAAACCGGAACATAGACAGGCTATCATTGACGATTGCAGAAATATTTGTATTTTTAAATTTCCCTAAAAATCATTTAATCACCAGTTATTTACTGAAGAAGTACAATCATAGTATTGAAACATGAAAGCTTTCGTGTAGTGATTTCAACATGTTTTTATTATAATCTTTTATAACAAAAATAATAATAATTGGTCTACTTTGTATTGAGCACTTTTTTAAAATTAAATGCAATGAACAGTGGAATTTTACTTCATCTGTTCTTTCTCTCATTGGTATTTAATAATAAAATTTAAATTTCATATCTTAATAAAATATAAATTTAATAATTTAGTGAAAAATGTATCTAAATGTTTATAAAATCTTTCTATTATTTATTGATTTTGTAAATGATTTTAAATTTTGGAGGTTTAAAGAATCCAGCTGAAACTTCCTCAAGACAGCAAGAATTGGCTGCTAATGAATGAGGATTTTCATTGCTAAACAGTTTTTGTCAATAGGGAGCCCTCACTAATTGATTATAGCAAAATTGAAATGAAATCATTAAATGGGAGAGGGGAATCATTGCACTGTGGTGGAGCAGAAAATGCAGTCCATTTGTAACATGTCTTTTCAATCTTTTGCAATTGAAGAGTTACAATCAGAAGAAAAGATTTTTCTCATAAAATCCTACATTCAATTTCTTTTCCAAGTCCTTCCTGAATTAACAAGATTTGTTCAGAAAACAATCACTCGGACCCGCTCTTCTGTTACATGAAATTTCCCTGCTTCTC